ATTTGATATTGGAAGGACTGAAAGAGAGGGAAGAAAAAAGCAAAGGAGTGGTTTAAAAAATTTTTTGGAAGAGTCAAGAAGATGAAATTAAATTTTTTTGAGGGGTATAATATGTATGTATGGGTTGTTGTTTTTGGATTGGATCAAAGGTGGATTACCGCAGCTGGCATTGTTTTTTCCAGCAGTTATCTGTCACTGCAAAATCATATTTTTTTATATTGCAGTTGTCTAGGGAGCAGCGGCATACAGCTTAGCAAGAATAGAATTTCATTTATTTTTACGCTATTTTTTTTTTTTTTGTTTGAATTTTAAGACATGCAAAAGTCATCACTGTTATATATATAAACTTGGTTTTTTATTTTTATTAGTAATATTTTTGGGAAAATTAATTCGTGGAAAGTTAGGAAGTGAATTGAGTGGGAAATATAATGAGTTAAAAACGTGGAAAAATGTAAACGTTAATATTTTATAGACTGATTAATAATTAAGATAGTAAGCTAAAAAGATGAAGCCTAACATTTAGTAATATTAATAATTCTTTTGGTGTACGACTTTTTTTTTTGGAGTGCGCGTTGATGCGTATAACAAAAAGGGATATTTCTGGAATAAAGATTTAGCAGAAGCACTCTAGTCTTTACCGCTGCAAAATTAAGTTAAAAAGGTTTGTAGGGCATAGGATTTACACAGGCTTCTGTAATATAAAATTAGGCTATACTTTGTAGGGCACAGGATTTACTTAGGCTTTTGTAGTATAAAATTAATCTCTCTTTTTCCAATTTTTTGCATAAAATTATTTTGAAGTGTAAAATCAAAAAATTCTCTAACCAAGTTTTTCTCTTTTTAAATTTTACTGCTATATTGTTGGAAAGAAGGCGTTAGGGAATTTGAACTGTTTTAGAGTCAGAGGGTTGTTTGCTGTCAACAGTTACAGTGTTATTTTTGCAGCGTTGCTGTTATTTTCAATAATGAACTGCTTTGTTTGGTACAATTAAGTGAGCGTAAAGTCCCAACAAATTATAAAGGTACATTGGTTTTGGGAAAATACGACAAGTGTTTGGTACAAATATTATGCCTTTGCAAGGAACTGATTATGGGTTGGTAAAGATTTACGCCAACCTTAGGGTTTGTTGTTCGATACCGCTTTTTGATATTTCAAATAAAAAACCATTTTAAAAAAGCAATTTATTTTTTTTTCTCGCTTTTTTTTTTGGTTAGGACTGGATTTATGGTAGCTACTTCCAGTTTTATTATAAGATTTTTATTTATACATTAAGCTCTTCAAGTACATCATATAATCGCGCAAAAAAAAGGGAGGAATTCAGTAAAAGTCAAAATGAAAAAAGATTCCGAATTTGAAGTGACGGTTTTTATAATTATTACGGTTTTTATACAGCTAATTTAACATTTTTATGATAGAACTTATTGCCGTATCGACTCCAAAACAAAGTGGCATTTGGATCTTTTCATATTATTTTGTTCTGTCTGGTAGTTTCTGTTAGATTTTTCGCCAACCAAAGATAAAATATAGTAGGGGTCAGCGTAAAGCCTTTCATCCTCTGTTTTTATTTTTTTACTTTTTTTAATGTCATAAAATATTCCTCTACTGAATACTAGTGAGTTAAACCTATAGGTTGAGTGAAGTTCAAAATTTGATAACAGACAGACATGATAGAAGAATAAGATTGATTGGCTGAGAGTAGAGAAGAAAACCACTTATTTGTTTTCTGTGCTGGTGAGTTTGTTATGGACTTTGTTATGAGGGTCCATATGTTTTTATGTCGTTCACTGGATTTTGCCTAATTTAAGCTGCTTCAGATGGAATTATCCTGAATTTTATGCTTTTGCATGTACATATTTTTTTCTTGTTAAAGACAGGAAATTCATTCAACAGACAGGAATATCATAGATGTAACAGAATAACATGTTGCTTAGAAAGCTTTATGACGAGAATGCCTTGTCGCTCGTTGTCCATATGTTTACGTTTCGGGGAGTAGCATCAAAACAATTATTATTGAACAAAAAGAGAAAGTCAAGGCTTTTTTTGTTTTAAGGAAGCAAGAAAAGCAATTAAGGCGAAGGAGTTAAAAATTTCAATTCGGGATGTAGCTGTTTTTTTCGGATTTTGGTTTTCTTTCTTTTTTTTTTTTTTTTTTTTTTTTTTTTTT